TCAGCGCTGATGACACTTGCAGAAAAGATGGTGCTCAGCAGGCCGCCCGGGCCAGAGCCTCCGGCCACGTCTGTGTCCCCGCTGGAGGGTGCGGCTGCCTCAAGGGAGCTTGCGCGCGTCTCGGGCTCAGATTCGCCCAGCGGCCTTCTCGGGGTAGAGTCAGCAGCACGAGCCCTGACCACGGTGGCGGGCGCCTGCGGCCTCGCGCCCTGGTGAGTGTCGACGCTGAGTGTCTGAGAGATGACCCTGCGTGGGGACCCCAGGCCGGCGCTCTGCAGATGGACAAGGACACGCGCAGATGGCCGCGGGGGCTGACCCAGGCCCCAGGCCTCGGTCCAGCCTGGACAGCAAGGGGCTCGCCCACGCGAGGTGCTGAGCCTGACTCCTCGGCAGTGAGACAGCCAGCCCCGCTGCCCCTGCCGCGACCCCGCGCCGGGCCGGGCGCCCGCGGTCGGTGTTTGGTGCCGGCGCATCCACGGCCCGGTCGCCGGGAGGGATCATGTAGGCCGCGGCCCGCTGTTTTCATGACCAACGTATTTGCATTTATTTCGCGCTGTTAACAACTTAACATGTAATGGTGCCTCCTCTAAGCAGAGTCACGCGCCTTCCGTGGGGGCCTGACGCGGCCGCGGCACCCTGCTCGCCTGTCCCGGGGCGGCGGCCTGTTCTGAGAGCTGGCACAACAGTTATTGTAAGCGACAGCGTCGCATTCTGAAAACAAGGGGCGCGATGGCACGATTTATCTCCAGCTTCTCCTGACTTCGTGCCAGTTGCCGTTTCCTAGTTGAAAGCAGGTTTTTTCAGATCATAAATATTTCATTTTTAATTTATTATTGATTTAGTTTGATAGTAAATAACCCCATGAATGCTGAGGTTGAAAATCTGTGGTAAAAATTATCAAGCCTCCCGCTTTTGTCCGGCCATGGTTTTTTATCACACTGAAATAAAACAGTGGGACCACCTAAGGAAATGGATTTTGGATTCTTAATTTATCTGATGCAGTTAATTAATCGGTCAATTAAAAACAAAGGGGCAGTGAGTGCCAAGCACATTTGTTCTGACAGTGAACGTGTCACTGGACAGCAGCTCTTGACGCGGCTACAGAATCTTCCCTGGGGGGCGACGTCCTGTGGGGGAGAGACAGACGGCCCTGGGGCAACAGGAACCTACAGCCTGGGGGGACGCCGCCCCCGCCAACCAATGCGCGTCCGCCCACGGCCCTCCAACCCCAGAGCCCCTTCGTGGCTTTTTCCTACAACCAGAGTGAAAGAAATCAGGTCGTGCAAGGCCGGGCAGTGAGTGTGACGTGGGCTGGAGGGCTCCTGGGCGCGGCGGGTGTGGAGGGGCGCAGCTCCTGCCCCAAGGCCGTCAGACGCACCTGCAGCCACCCAGGAGCCCGTTGAGAGCGCTGGCTGGGGTTGGCCTGTGGCCTCCGGGACTGGTCCCCGGGTGGTCAGTGCGCGGGGTGAGCTGGGGTGTCCGTCCTCTCTGATGGCTGCGTGGGGCCTGCCCTCTCACCGCCTCCTGCGTACAGACCGCTGGGACCCGCCGGCTCAGCGCCCAGTCACCCCCTGCCTGGCGGCCTGGCCTGGCCTGTATCCCGTGGAGAGGCAGAGCGGGGCACCCACTCCCCAAAACAGACTCTAGAAACCAAAGTGAGAAAACGCTGGTGAAGCCCGGGGTGGCTGGGCTGGGTGCCACGGCGCCCCAGCGATGGGGAGGGAACGCCCCCTCAGCTGCCTCGGGCCCTGCCTGTGGGCAGGCTCTGAGAGGAGGCGGCTCTGCAGGCGGCGTTCGGGCTCAGCTGCTTGGGACAAGGAGCTGCCTTTTCTGCCAGCCATTGTTCTTGCTGAGCCTGGGTGACTTTGGGGGCCAGCAAGCCACAGCCCGAGGGCTGGAGGGATGGTCCTTGGCCCTTTACCTGGGGCCCTCGCAGCACTTCCCAGGCGCAGACGCCATCCAGACCAGGCAGGGTTTCGGTGCTGAGGCCTGTTCGCCTCTGTGGCCCCGGAGGAGGCAGGGGCAGGGCCTGGCACTTTACTTACAGGACCCAGGTGGGGGCCCAGTTCTGTCCAGCATCCTCACAGCGGGTCGCAGACCTGTTCAGACTCCGCAGAGGCGACAGGCCCTCAGCCCACGTTTGTTTCTGGCCTCAGAGCACAGTCAGGGGGACTGAGAGCACCTCCCCCCGCCGTGGCCCAGGACAGGCTTCACCCAGGGAACTTGGCCGCCCCACTTACTTACTTGGGTATTTCAACTTTCAGAGAGTAAGGGGACGCTGAAGTTGGAAGAGCGGGCTGTGGACTGCACGGCCTCGTCTGCTGGGCTGTCTGTCGTGGCTTCTGGCCTGCGGCCCTTGAGCACAAGAGAAGCGTGCGTGGTCTCAGGGCTGGCTGGCCTGCCAGGATGGACGGGACCATCCCAGCTGCGTCCCAGACCAAGGCCACTTCTCTGGCCACGTGGTGTTTAAACAGACCGCAAGCCCCACCTGAAACACGGTGCTCAGGTGCACTTTCAGCACTCCTTTCAGAGCTTCCGGGAGCCTTTCTAACTTTAGCTTAAAAGGACGCTGGCCCTTTTATCTTTAGGATTGCACTATCTTTAGCATTCCAGGAACCTAGAAATAATTCCTGTGTCCATATTGTGTGCCAGAAATTTACCTGCTGGTCTTTCACCTGGTTTTACTGTGAGCAGATAACCACGCTGCTCCTGACGGCTCTCGTCGAGGGCACGCCTCCTCCTCCGGCACTTGAAACTCGTAGGGGGAACTTCCCTAACAGTTAACTGGGGCGTCAGCATGGCCGTCCTCATGGGGAGCACCAGGTCGGTGTCTCCTGGGCACTGCGCTCGCCGTAGGACGTCGCGGGCGGTCAGTGGCGGGCGGGGTTGCTATGGGGTCACCCGGGGAGCTGAAGTGATGTGAGCGTAGCGAGCTGGAAACGGAAAGGTGATCTGTAGGTGAAGCCTTTCCATTTTCATCGAGGGGGCTGGGGGCTGACGGTGGATGACGTGGCCGTGAACGATCACCCAGCTCGGCTGGTGAGAGCGGGCAGTGGCGGCAGCGTGTCTGGGCTCCCTCTGCCGTCTTTTTCTTCAAAATACCCAGTTTGGCCGCAAGTGCAAGCCACGCCCAGACCCCCGTGGCTGAGCTCCACGCGGCGCAGCCAGGGTTCCGAGCACACGTTTCCGAGGGCTTTTCTCTTCAGGGCGAGGTGGGGAACTCGGCACAATGTGAGCCCTCAGAGGAGAACAGACCTCAAGGTTTACTCTGGATCTTCAGGAAAACGTCATAGGAACTCAGGATCGGGAGCGGCGGAGGCACGAGTCGGGGACAGCCGCAGCGAAGCAGGGGCAGGCATACGGTTGTGCTGGGTCACGCCTGGGAGTTGCAGGGTTAAGCGTGGTGGGCTGTGTGTTCCTTGGCTGGGCGACTCGGAGGCACCAGTAGACACGGGTGGGGCTGGGGCCGGGGCCTGAGAGGACCATGGGGGAGAGGCCGGCTTTTCAGGCCTGGTGTCTGTTCTAGCTGTACCTGCCTCCACGTGGACAGAGTGGTCAGGGGAGGCAGGTGTGCATGTGTGCACGTGTGTGGCCCTGCTGTTTGCTGCATGTCTGTCTCTCGAGGAAGGCGTGCAGGGTCCGAATGTGGGCGCAGATCACCGATGACACTGGGTGCACAGTGTCTTCAGAGAATGGAGGTGGTGGGAGGGAGGAAGGTACATAGACACAGGTGGGAACACGCAGAGGCAGGTATTTATGGCGAAACCAATACCTGTGCGGACAGACACACCATATGGCAGCATCTGCATGTAAGGAGTCAGCCCAGGGTGTCGGCAGGGACAGGAAGATGGTGTCAGGCGTGTGAGGATTTAGGGGAGAGCTTCGTCACCCCAGGACAGCCGTGGGTTTCCCCTTCAAATTCTCTTCTTTAATTACATTTGAAAGCACTTAGCTTGCCATTCATAGGCTGCAACCCTCAGTATGACCAGTGTCTTTGGCCAAACTTAACTAGTGATACAAAGAAATGGGGGAAAAATTAAATTTAAAAACATTTCAGAAAATGTTCAAAGTTTTACTGTTTACTAGGTTCATACCTAATGCCCACCTCCTACCAAAAGTTATTTGGAATTGCAAGAAAATAGGTTTCTACAAAGTTCAAACTTCCTCATAGGGTCTTGTCATTTGATGTTTAATAACTCCATCAGAGGTGACCTCGGTGATTTATTCTCCACTTCTCTACATTTATGAGTTTCATGAACCTCTTAATTGATGCTCTTTTGGCGTAAAGGCCAAACAAACATTTTATCTTGACTTCATTTATCTTTGGATAGCTTAAATGTCAAGATAAATTAAATAAATTATGATGTAACCCCATAGGAAAACCATGTCTTGTTCCTGAAAGATAACACTTCCAGATATTGATTTCTTGCAGGGATTGTAGAGGGTGGTATTAATTTTAGTCCCAGTGACATTAGGAAGGATCATGGCTCCTGGTGATATATTCTCAACAATATTGGTGATGACCCTGCGAAGCTTTTGAAAGGTATGAAATCAGCGTGTGTGCACATATATACAGGCATCTATGTGCTAGGACAGTATTTTTTTTTCTCTTCCTAATGGTGTAAAATCAAAAATAAAACTGCAAATTACTGGAATTATTTATTCTGTTTTTAATTCTCCTACATTTCAAAGAACGCAACTTAGTTATATTAATAGGAGTTTTCATATTCATGGAGTACACTTAATTGAATTGCACGCCATTAAGCACGACAGCAAATTTCATAGCAAATGACAGGTAGAGCTGAGTTCTGAACTGCAAAATTATGGAAATAGGGATGAAATTATGGAAACTTTGCAAGATATGTAAAAAGTAGACATGTAGATTGCTTTATTTTTGATAATAATAATTTAATATTAAACTGACTCAGTCGGCGGCTCCAAATGCGCCTCTGAGTCCTGTGTCTGTGATGTGTCCTTCATGCCAGTCTTGTTTCTTTCAGAACCTGTCTGGGAGTCGACATTTTTTCCTGCTGATTGTATGGGAGAAGTTTTGACCTTAGAAAGTGGAAATGAGGTTGCTATGGAAACTGGTAACTCTGCTGCCACTCATACACACTTGTGCAGGTAAAGTGTTCTATTTTGAGTTTTGATTGATAATTCATTGGCCTTTTACTTCTTTCTGCAGAATATGATTTTCAAATGTGAATATTTATGTTATTTGAATGACTAAATAAATGACAGCTTAACTTATTAAGGTAGTCCCTATCGTTAAATGCAGAATTCAATTCTTAAAGTTGGTATCAAGTACTTTTAAACAGAACTAACATTTTAATTATAAATTGACCGATAGGAAATTTTATAGTAGAAGAATAGGATTCATTTTTGCTATCAATAAATGATGAGCAGTAGTTTCTTTTTCTTGCGTTTTGGTGAAATCTATAAAAAATTAAAATTGAAATACATATTTTTCCTCAAGTTTGGCATTTGGTGTGGAAAACAAGCTATATTGAAGCAGAAGAAGTCGTAGAGAATGCGACGTGCAAGCTTGGGCCAGTCTTACAATGCTTCCTCCCCATTTCAGCAACGGGGTCTTTCCTTCAAGCTTATTCAAGTCTGCGGAGGGGGGGTTTCTCCACGTCGCCCCCCGTCCTGAGTGTGTGGGTTTGAATAGCAAACCTCCGCCTGCCTGGGGACCACTCTGGGGTATGGAGTGGGAGCGAGTTCACTGGACTGTCCTGGCTCTGCGGGGTCCTGATGCCTGGTCAGCTCCCCCGCCGCCAGCCTGGCTGGTCCCAGACACAGTGACCAGAGATGTGGCCGAGGCTTGGCCCAGGAGTCCTCTCCTGCATGAGGGTCTGACTCTTCTGCACGTGCTGCCAGCGTTCAGGGTGCCTCAGGGTGTGAAAGGCACATGAGGTGGTGTCACATTAGCCCTCCAGGGCCCAGTTGGGAGTTCGCAGTGTGCGCCTGCCCCCCTGACAGCAGGACCATAGTGCTGCACTGCAGAGGGGGCAGCCTTTCCGAGCTGAGCTGGCCGGCCCTGCGCTGGAGCCACCAGGTCTGAGGATCAGCTGCTGCTGCACGTCTGTCTCCCACCGCGTTGGCTGAAGCCTCAGAATGCCCTTAGCAGGTCCAGGAGGCAGGGGTTTCCGTCTGTTTCCTTCTTGGCTGCATCTCCACCACCGGCGCAGGCACCCGCGGAGGGTCTGTGACCGTCTCTGCCAGGAGGGAGGCTCATTAGGTTCAGCCTGAGCCGGGCCAGGCCCTGAACTAGGTTTTCAAGAGGGCCACGACCCCTGCCCTCTTTGGTCTGCAGCCGAGGGGGGACGGTGGGTCGTCAGCGCTTGTGAGGGAGGCCGGACCTTGGCAGGGCATCAGCAAGACTCAGCGAAACCGTGTCTCTGTGCCGGCCTCGGGGAGGCCTGCCAGGGGCGGCGCAGGCGCTGGCAGGTGTTCGGCTGCGATGCGGTGGCGTCTCAGCCTTGGGCTGCGCTTCTCTGGTGTTCTGTACTCCCGCCGCCCGGAGAGCTCCTCCCTGGTGTCCGTTCTCTCTCAAATGCGCTATTTAACAGCTGTTTAACTCCAGCGGGGGAGTGGTGGCTGACCGCTCGCTCACACGTGAGAGTGGCCTGTCTTCTGCTGAGCATGTCTGTTTGGTTGTTTGCTGCGCATTTCCCTGCAACCTGGTAAAATTAGGGGCTGCGCAGCCCTTTGGTCAGCCCAGAAGAGCCGTCGCTGGGCAGGAGAGGCAGGTCCTCAGTGGGAGCGTGAAGGCGTGAGGAGGTTGTACTCACGCTTCTGGGGGGCTCAGTGCTGGGCCCCTGTCAGTCACCCCGGAGTTGCTCACCGAGGCTGAGAGTGATCAGGTCTTCCCTCTTACGTACTGTCACGTCCACTGACAAAGGCGTTCACTATTTCAAAACACTTCCTGCGCAGAGCACCCGTGGCGGGGGGCGTCCCTCCACGCTCGGCTGGGGAGCAGCGAACAGCAGGGAGGTGTCAGTTTTCCTCTGTCTCAAACGCGCCTTCTGCTGGGCGAGAAGCAGCGTGGGCGCGCTACCGCAGAGAAGGCGCCAGCGTGGAGGAGCGGCGGGCCAGGTCTCCTCAGAGACGACTGCGGTCCCACGGCAAGCCCACGGAGCCGGCGGCCACTGACCGGCTTTGCTCAGGGGCCCAGCAGCGCGTGGTGGACATTCCTGCGGGCCGCGCAGCGACGGAGTTGAGCTCCGCACAGCCCACGCACTGCCCACGCTGGTCAGATTTATTGTGGGCTGATGGCGCCTTGGGGCCTGCGGCGCCGGCTGTATTTTTAAGCCAGTGACATCCTCGCGATCTCTAATAGGGATGACCCGGGTTAGCGTGCCGAAGCACCGTCTGTGACTGCCTAAGGGCGAGGCTGGTTATATGATTATCAAACCTTCCTCCAAGGTAACTGATTCTTCAACCCTAAAGGAAATTGTTTTTTAGGACTGATGAGAGTGTAGGGGAAATACTGTTTGGTCAGCGTTGGGCGGGGTGGACTGGCCCTCGGGGCGGGGTGGACTGGCCCTCGGGCGGGAGGGGTGTCTCCCGGGAGTTTGGGAGGGGCCAGTTTCCATGGCGGTGAGCATCTCGGGTATCGTTTTTATGTCGGAGATACCACGATACTAAGTTCTCCACGTCAAACGCCCCAACAGTCCAGCCGCCTCCCTGCAGCCGGCGGCACACACACAGCAGCTGCTCCACGCACAGTGGCCACCGCCAACCTGCCCGTCTCATGGTGCGCTGAGGCCCTCCCCGCCCGGCTAAGCTTCCCCTGCACCCAGCCCTGACCTGTTCCGGGCCCACCCCACTTCAGGTACTCCGCGCCTGCTCATCCCCCCTCTGAGGCCCAGCCTCCCAGTGCCTGGCCCAAGGCTGTCCCTCTCCTCACCCTGTCACCCTCTCCAGCCCTATGACCCTCTCCAGCCCTGTCACCTCTCCAGCCCTGTCACCTCTCCAGCCCTGTCACCTCTCCAGCCCTGTCACCTCTCCAGCCCTGTGACCCTCTTCGATGGGCTTACTGCTCTGGAGAGAGCTGCCACCTGCTGGGCACCAGCTCCAGGGCATACCTCACGTATCCGCTTGAGCCTCCTGCAGCCTACACCGGTGAACGCCACGAATACTGCAGGCCAAGGTGGGGGGTGGGCCGCTCCTCAGGGTCTGCCCCACGAGACGAGGGCAGCCCAGTGTTTCGAGCACTTTCAGAACTTGATGAGATGTTCTGGAATCCACTCTTAGCACACATGTTGTCGTCACAATAACCATTTGGTCTCAGGTAGCCACTTTTTTTTTTTTAATAAAAAGTCATGATGCAGACTGAAAGCCCCAATAGACTGAATTTTTTTTTACTGAGGTGACGTGGTTACGGCCCCGTGTGGGGTCTCGGGACAGGCGTGGCGTCTGCTGAGATGACTCTGGCGCTGTTAGGTTGGGGAGCAGCGGCTTCGGCACAGGCAGTGCTATTTCAGTATGTCGGGGTGGCAGACCCCCGTTGCTGTCATGGCAGAAGTCAGCTGCACAGTTCAGGCCTCTGGGCCGCTCTTATCTCCGGGGGGTGCTTGTTCCTTCCGTGTCGAAGACTCACGTCACCCCAGCACCAACCCCCTAAGCCTCGTGGTAGCTCTCTCTGCTTGGGGGTGTCCTCTCTGTCCTTGCAGACAAAGCTCTTGACACAGACCCCCCTCTGCAGGGGCCCCACACAGCACGGCTGCTGTTTCCACCCCGTCGGGACCTCCCGGGTCCACTTGCCGTCCGTTCAGGCGGTCTCACCGAGCATTCAGATTCCATTTCCTTCAGCAGATAAGGAAAGTTCTCCAATTCCCTCTGCCGTGTCCTGGGCCGCATCTTCCCTTCTTTCCTCAGGCACCTGCCGTCAAGGTAGACGGCGCCCCTGGGAAGGTCCCCAGTGGGGCCCCTCCGGACCCTTCTCCCACGGACGGCAAGTTGGCCTTTCCAGCCTGGCTGGAACGCGCCGCGGGTGCTCCGGCGTTGACTCTCCCGCTGGCACAGCCTCCTGGCCCCGCTGCTGTGTGGCGGGCAGGTGTGGTGTGCGGTGCCTCAGGAGATGCCGAGATGCAGGCAGCGCCTTCAGCTTCCAGGATGAGGAAAGGCGGGGTTTGTGGCGAGAGGCCACCATTTGGGGTGCTGTTCAGTCCGCGTCCCAGACCCACCCCTCGACACAGGCGCGTGCGCGGGGCAGCTGCTCCGCACAGTTGCTCTCAGTTCCGGTGAAGGCGGCGCGTCTGCTCGGTGGGGGGTGATTTAAGGTGCAAGTCCCCAGAGCATTGACCGTCAGTGAAAGAGGAGTCGTGACAAGCACCCAGACCCTAAGTTCTGGGCCTCACTTATGTCGCAGAGCTCAGGGCATGTCAACCAACCACGCCGCTGGACTAAACAAGCAGCGACGAAACCCGGACCGTCTCTTTGTCACCACCCGTAGTTCACGCTGTGGCTCTAGCCGCGCCTGCCGCGTTCGGGTCCGTGGGCTAGGGGTGAGGAAGCTGTGTCCTGAGTAGAGCTGACAGAAGCCGGGCCACCCGCATTTGCCGCGGTTCCCACTCACCTGCGCGCCGGGGGAGACGGGGCAGAAAAGCACTTGCGAAATCACAGTTAAAGCAAAAGCAGATAAAATTGGGAAAAGTGAGATTTAATGCATCTTGTGGCGTTAAACTACTCTGCAGACCTGCAGTAGTGTTTGCAACTCTGTGGGCATCATGTAGCCTTGTGGATAAATGTGTCGTGGCCACAGCTGAGTGTCTAACCCCTGCCCCAAGTTAGCGCTTTAAGAGAGCAACTTATTATTATTGCTATTACTACTACTTTTTACGGTTCTGCAGGCCACTCAGTGCCTTCAGCTGGCCGGGGAACCTGCAGCGCTCCGGGTGATGCCGCCAAGATGGGCTCCTTCAGGCGCAGCCGCGGTCGGTATGTCTCGGGGTGCGTCTGTCCACATGGGTTGGGTTGCCGGACAGAGCGCTCAGCTGCGCCGCGCCAGGGCCCAAGCTGCCTGTCCCACGGTGTCTCCTTCATGCCAGTGGCCATGGGAGGGGTGACGTTTGGAAGGACGGATCCCGAACCCCTGCTCTTTCGTTGTGGCGGCCATA